CACAATGCAATTATGGAGATATGCAGTGGGCAAAAGATGTGAACAAACTTCTCCAATCCAAGGTTCCTCAAAGCCTGCATACCCAACAAGAAATCACAAAGATTCAATGGACTTGTTCTTTCTTGATCACCATTCAGCTTAGATTTTGAATATATCTAAATTTATTTAAATTATTCCATTTAAATTAATTATTAAATCGATTACCATAATTTTGTGTGGATAATTCACTAACTGACCATGAATAAGCTGTGTTTAAAATGTAATATGAAAGCAGATGCAAGTTATACAATGAGTGTGTTATATGACTATTTTAAATTGCAATTATGAATTTGTCAAACAGCTTTTCCTTTGTCTAAAGTCACTTTTATGTGCTGCAGACAAATTTTTCTTCCATTGCAATTTTTTCCAAAATCACTAAATATGCACATAAGCTTACTTCACTTTTAGTTTTTTACTTTGTTGTATGTTCAATCCATGCTGTAATTGATATTATTAGACACTCTTTTTTGAATTTTTATCTTGAGAGCTGATAAATTTTTATAATTATTTCTCATGTATATAATAATGTTATTTCAGAGAACTCTGGTAGTTAAAACATGTGATGCAATAATTGTTGCTATACTCACCAAAATACCTCTTATTCCAACAGGCATGAGTTTAATTTTTCATGTAAATTTAGCAATCTACAGCAAATTCCAAAATAGAATGAAAAATTGGAAACTGGAAGCAGGCTTATAATTAGGTCTAAAATATCTGTCCAAATTTACATAAAAAATTAAACTTCTGCTGGTTGGAATAAAAGGTTTTTTTGTGAGTAGTTTAAATTGTCCAGTTTTTGAAAAATATTATGAATTGTTGCTTTCATAAGCTACAAACTTATTGGTGTTTTCATCATTATAAAGTGAATTCTGACAACTAAAAAGAATTATATACAGGTAACCCCCATATAACATGGGAGTTACATTCCAAAAAATTGCCGTGTTATGCGAATTTGTGTTATAGAAAACAAAGAACTAGTGCAAAAAGGAGGGTTAGCTTCCAAAAATTAAAAAGCATACTGTTAAATCTTTCTTTAAATCGAATTTATTATTCATTTTTTTTATGGGTAAAATACTTATTTATTATTTAATTAAGTAAATATTTTATGTGAGATCCGGAAGGCCCTAGGCCTCATTTAATAATTTTTATTAAATATGCTTAAATAATGTCACCAAATAATACTTCGTTTTGGTGAGAAAAATATTGTTTTAGACGTGGGAAAAACTAGATGACAAATGTTATTTCCTTTCATCGAGGAGAACATCCGCTGTTTTTCCCATATCTGGTTAAAAATCTCGCTCCGATGGGAAATGGTTACCCCTCATTCATCCCCCTCTCATCCGTTCTCACGAAAGAGTTACTATACGATGATTGGACGAAGTTTGGAAATAAAAGGAGAAATTAGTCATAATTCGGGGAGTCCTCCGACCGATTTGAAAGTGTCCAGACTCCACATACGTTTCCTCCTGATGGCCAACGCCCATAACGGAGCACGATAGACTAAGTCCCGAGTCTACACTTAGAAGAAGTGATATTTTTATATTGGTGCACGAATTGATCTCCCATACGAAGTAATATGAACTTTATCTGCGAGGTGTCCTATATCTACAGAAACGAAGACGACAATTAAACAGGTCGTATGTCTAGAATCAATTTTGTGAGCTCTCTCTCTCGAACGCGCCTTAGCTTAAATATAAGCCGGAGCCTATAGCTTGTAGTATAGTCGTTGTATTTGGTTATTTGTATTCGTTTCTTTGAGATTTATTAAACTATACTCATGTTTTATTTTATATGAATGTCTCTTAATTGGGTGTCCGAATCAGATCGCATACGCGTGTTAATCCGCGTATAAAAAGTTGATTAACTGGTGTCACGGAATCCTGATGAGTATCTGAACTTCGCCGTTCAGATCAATTTTGATACAGTGCCTTCCTATAAAAAGTTTAGAGAGCCGATCACACGATCGTGCGCCAGTAAGTGATATAAGTAATTACCTTATACCCTTGGCTACTCTCACATTTACCAGAGGATTTTTCATTCTATATGATGATCTCAGCATGAGCATCATCAACTGGTAACAGTTTTTGGGTTGTTTGTTAATAGCGGTTGCTCTGCGTCTCCACTACAATGGGGCTGCGCTGCTGTTTGTAGGCATTTAGAACAACGGTGAAAGAAAGAAACATGGTGGCGCTTGCACTATCGATAGTATTTTGATGGAAGAATCTATAATTCTAAAATATGAGCTTTTAGAGGCAAAAGGGTTTCAATTGTAAAATTTAACCATTAAATGGATTATTTGTTGAAAGAGCATTCAGAGTAGCCACAAAAAAAATTAGAATGCTCACGCAGGGATATAAAAGAACGCACCCTTTATTACATTTCATGTTGTACAAGGGTTTTACCCAATTCCTGAACTGTGTTAGAGTGAGCCCGTGCTATAAAAGCACTGTGTTATATGGGGATGTTCCCAATTCTCAAACCGTGTTAGAATGAATCCGTGCTATAGAAGTGCCATGTTATACGGGGGTTACCTATACATTTAAAACGACTTAACTGTACAAAATTTTATTTTGTTTATGCACAACAGAATTACTTTCCTTCCATTTTACTAACAATGCCAAAATTCAAGAATATGTCATTACAGTTTTGGTTTATTGCTTTATTTTTTAAACTCTTTAGTGTAGAAAGATTTGTGCAAAATTTTAAGTATTATTTAACAACTTTTGAATTAGAAGAGAATAGAAAAATAAATTTTCATGTAACATTTTCTAAACAGTAATTGGTTGAACAAAACAGAATTTCAGTATTCTATTGGATGATCTGACTATTACAATCCATCAGGGCTTTACCATATAAGGAGCACATCATTCATTTGAATGAGTTAGCTGCCAAAGGACAATTTTTTTTAATCACATTGCTTCACTTTTTGTTTTATTTATCAAATATTAATGTTAAAATTATATTTTGTCTTAATTTTAAGCTTAGTTCATACAAAATGTGAATCACTGGGGAATAAAACAGAAAGAGAAACAAATATTGTGTTGATTGTGACCTCCTTTCTTGTAAATTTATATTTTGTGAATTGTGGTTACATTTTAATATGTTGAACTTTTCCACTAGTGATTCCTACTAATTAATTGGAAGAATGGATTTCTGAACATAAGAGAGTTTTAAACACAGCAGCTATAAAGAATATACTTTTTAATTAATTTTAGTATTATTATTCATTTTGAAATTTTCTTTGTCATAAATAAAGCATGACATATAAAAATGTTTTCTTTTATCAGCTGTCATCTTGTTTAAATGATATTTGTTGTCATTGGCATATTAGTACTCATTTTGATGTTCTATTTTTTGTAAAAAAAAAAAAAAAAAAGCAAAGTTTGCTGTATGAGAATATGAAAATAAATCATTTTTTGCATTCTGCTTTTGTTTTCATTCACAAATGTTTATCTGAATTCAGCTTAGAGTTCTCCATGGAAAACAAGAACTGAGCAATGTATTTTCAAATCATGTTATTGAATATTAAAAAAAGTTAGATTAAAAATAATATAACATTTATATTAACATTTATTATTTGATAAATAAAATAGAAATGACACAATATGATAAAAAGTAATTTTGCCAATAAGTAAGCATTTGTAATTTTGACACGAGATCTAAGAAGGTTCTTCTTGGTACTGTAATTTTTTGATGGGTTTATTTTATGATTAAATTTACAATGAAGTTTAATAGAAAAACAATGTTTTATTGTTTGATATAGTTTCTTCTAAATTGCATACCAGTTAGTGTTATGCTTTCAATAGCTGCTCTGGAAGTGAGTGGTTTATGCTGTTGTGGGTTATTTGCATGAAATTTTAGTATCAATGTTACCATAAATGTGACAGCTATCTGAAGTACAAATTATTTAATCATCAATTTCCTTGATGTGCACAGTTGCAGTTGAGTGATTCTCAGTGTAATTGCTAATATTTTATATTTTGTAATTAACCATATTTAATTCACTTACAATTCAGTCATTATTATTAGCTTTCTGAAAGCTTTATATCTGAATGATACATTATTATAATCTCATAAATTATATCAAATTTATCTCTGATTTTTTTGTGGGGTTTTTTTTTATAATTTTATCTTTTACTGTCTTTGTAAAATCTAACAAACTAAATAAACATAATTATGTAGTTGATAATCATTTGATACAAACAAAGCAAAAACCTTGTCCGATCTTAGTTCTGAAAAGATGACAGATTCCACCAGATATGTACATTTATGTATTAATAATCTTTAAAAATTAAAATTTCATAAAATGTAAAATTTTTTATAAATTTTTAATAATTGTTAATATGTAAATGTGCATATTTGACAAGATAGCTCTGTCACCCTTTCAGAAGCCTACAAATTAAGGTAGGATGAGATTGTACTTTGTTTGTTCTAGAACAGTGTTTCCCAACCTTTTTTGTGCTATGCCCCACCTAAGCCTTTCTAAAATTCTCACGCCCCCTTAACATATACAGTGGCTATACTAGGCATGACCAACATACGGCCTGTCTAATGAATTTATGTGGCCCGCGATTAATCTTCCAATATTAGCTACTCAAGTCCGAATAGCTCAATGAAAAATTCTGATGCCTAAAAAAAAAAAAAAGGTCAACAACTCATTTTTAAATTGCCCCCCTTAACAATCGAATTGCCCCCTTGTGGGGCATGGGCCCCACGTTGGGAAACACTGTTCTAGAAGGTTGGACAAGGTGTCAAGTGTAACTTTGTTTATTTGATTTATCACATTTTAACAAATTTTAATTTTTGAATTTAGGACCAGAAATTTTTAGAACTTCTTGTATACTTTAAAAACTTGTAGTTGGTTGTTTTTGCTTCTCATTTAAATCCAAGATTTGTGAAATTTTATACAAAATTCTTTAAGCTTTTAGTAAAATAATGTAAAAAATTTTTAATTTGTGTAGGTAAACACAAACAAAACCGAGCCTTCACCTTTACAAGACTATCCAGTGACACTACTTCAATTTTTAATGTATCTGTATCATAATCGACCAGATTTTATGCTGATTTGTATGTCTTCAGATATTTTGAGTGCCCTTGGTTCTACATTATTTCCAGTTTTTTTATCTCATTCCGAGCATAATAGTGAAGTTAATTCACCAGTAGAAGATGTACAGGTAAAGTAAATTATGTAAATTATTAAATTTTTGGTAGAAAATAATTATGATTCAATAGATAATACTTTTCATATTTTATAAAATAAAATATTTTAAAAGTGTTATGAGTGGAGCATTTTAATATTAAATTGAAATGTTGAAAAAATCTTTATTAAATAATTTATAACAAGTAAAGGAAAATTTTATATAATATAAACAATACATAATAATATCAAAAACTTTTTATTATTGTTTAATTAATCTTACAATTGAAAAATCTTTGTTAGTGAACATTAACTACAAGTATGTGCTACTTAACAATGGTGATATATTTTGAAAAATATGCCATTAAGCCAACATCATAGAGTGTACTTTGACAAGTTTATACAATTTAGTCTACTTCTTATAAGCTTATATAAGCTATTTGTAGCACAGTGATAAGTATCTATGTTTGTAAACATATCTAAATATAGAAAGAGTACTGGCAACTACAAATTTTTTAATTCCATTATAAACTTATAGCACTTCTGTTGTTATGCAGCACATACCTGTAATTCAAAATGCTTCTTTTTAAAGATAATTTTTAAAAAATTCTATTTGGTTTATATTTAATTTGTTTAAATTAAATACATAGTATTACAAGATTAACTAGGGACACAGCATGACTGTTTTATGACAATAGAATTGAGGGAGAGCATTATGTTTTTTTAATTAACAATTTTTAAATTAGTATTATGGCATATAAATTATCTTTCACTCCATCTAACCCAAGCACTGACATACATATGGTTGTGTGTGTGAGATCAGAAGAAAACAGTTTATGACCAAACGAAAAGGCAGTCCTTACACTTGTCAGCTACAGAGGCAATCCTGACATTTTCCAGATACAGACTGGGAGTGTAAGATATCCTTACAGTCACTTGGTGTCAATTGCTTTGTTCTTGTGTTTTGTTTGTTTTTGGTGTCCATTTTCCATTCAGTACTTGCAGTGCAGTTTTTTATTTCAACTCATTAAATTCCATTAGGCATGCTCAATCATGTCAAGGAGTGTAGACATTGTTACTTTGACCCTGCTGTATCTCAAAAACAAAGTCATGGACTCCTATTTTTTATTGCATTTTTGGCTTTTCCATTGAAATTAATGTGAAATGGCAAAGTTTTATCAAAATTTGCTCATCAAATTTTGAGAACAAACTTAATTCTAAAAGCCACATAGAAGAGGCTTTACTAATTCTCAATTTCAACTATTAATAGTTGATATAACTTGCAGTGTTCAGGTTATGTTAAAACATCAAATATGTATGAAAACTAATATATATGCTTTTATGAAAGTGATATATTTCAAGAGACAATAATTATATTTCAAAGAAATGTTGAAAGCAGATGGAAAGTAATAAGAATTTTTAAGTGCTTTGAAAATATTCATTCATGTTTAGGTTTTATGATGGAAGCAATAAAGTGAATTACCAGTATTCAGGTGACAGGACAGTAACTGATTAAATAGTAATGATACCACAGACAATTTAAGCCAAGTTAGATATCATAACTTAGATCTTGTATTTTTAATAAATAAATTTTTTATTAATATGCTATTTCTGAAATGAAAATAACAAAATATGAAGTTAAATGTGTTGTGTTTTCAGTGGGGATTGGTCTGTAGGCAGTGACATTAAATTCCTTTGCTAAAATAAACTTTTATGGTTATTCAAAAGAAATTTGTAGATGCTTGTCTATTCTATTCTATAAAATACAATGGAATAGATTCATAGGAAAGTATACAAGTAAAAAGAAAAATAAATTTCCCAAAGAAAAGTTGAGAGGAAAGAAGACTAAATTCAATGACACTGCAAATTCAAACACAAATGTTGAAAAAGGACTCACACAGATACAACTATGTCTCAAACAAATAAAATTCTCTCTTATTTTCTAGATTTATATGCCTCATTTACAAAATAAGTAAAAACAATGATGTAAGAATATTAAAAGCAATATTATGCTATTTAAATACAGTAGAGCATCGATTATCTGACCCCCGATTAACCGTCACATCAGTTAACCGACCGTTGTAGTCGGCAAATTTCAAATGTCCGCTAGTGATGTGGCGCTACAATATTTGGCTATGTCTTGGCTACTTTAATATTTTTGTTAAATTTTTGTGTGTTTTAGCTGGCAACACCGACTCGACCATTGAAGGGAGGCCAGTATTTAAACAAGACTTAATTTTCTAATTATGAATGGTTGTTTATTTTGTGAGCAATAAAATAATTTTGAAATATTTTTTAACGATACAATAGTGACGATTATTATTTTTAAAAAAATTTGTTAGGCTTAACATAGATGAAAATTCAACGCGAAGTTGGTTAATAGTGATATACTAATATACTAATTACATACTATTAATATACTAAACTATGGGCAAAAGATGT